TTGTGGTCAATGGCTCCCTATTCAGGTGGAGGCCAGTAACAAGTGGTGTCCCTCAGGACTCTTGTTTTGGGACTGGTGCTCTCTAATATGTTTGTCAGTGACACAGACAATGGGACCAAGTGCACCCTCATCAAGTTTGCAGATGACACCAAGCTGAGTGGTGCAGTTGATGCAAGAAGAGGAAGGGATGCCATCCAGCGAAACCTGGGCAAACTTGAGAATTGGGCCCAGAGGAACCCAGTGAGGTTCAACAAGTCCAAGTGCAAGATGCTGCACCTGGGTCGGGACAATCCCAGACATAAACACAGACTGTGAGAAGAAGTCATTGAGAGCAGCCCTGCCAAGAAGCGCTTGGGGGTCCTTGTGGATGAAAAGCTGGACATCAGCCAGCAACGTGTGCTTGCATTCCAGAAAGCCAGCCACGTCCTGGGCTGCATCAAAAGAAGTGTGGCCTGCCATTCAGTGTGCAGAGCACTGCATCCAGCTCTGGGGCCCACAACATAAAAAGCACATGAACCTGTGCAGTGAGTCCAAAGGGCCACAGATATGATCAGAGGGCTGGAACACCTCTCCTTTGAAGACAAGCTGAAGGAACTGGGTTGTTCAGCCTGGAGAAGAGAAGGCTTTGGGGAGACCTCATTGTGGCCTTCCAGTACCTAAAGGGTGTTTACAAAAAAGGTGAAGAGGGACTTTTTGCGAGGGCCTGTGGCAGGACATAGGGGAATGGTTCTAAAGAGAAGGAGGAGAGATTTAGATTAAATGTTAGGAGGAAGTTCTTTACTGTGAGATTGGTAAGGCACCAGAACAGGTTGCCCAGAGAAGTTGTGGATGCCCCATCCCTGAAGTGTTCAAGGCCAGGCCAGGCTGGATGGGGCTTTAAGCAACCTGGTCTAGTGAGTACCATCCCTGCCCATGGGAGGGGGGATGGAACTAGATGATCTTTAAGGTCCCTTACAAACCTGTCTATGATTCCATGACGTTCTGTGATTCACCATATCTGCTTTAGAGGAAGGCAGATACATTTTCCCTTCATTTTTTATGAAATTCATTTATGTGCCAGGAGTCAGCAAAATTTGTTGTCACTGCTTAGATTCTATGATAATTGTCATGTTACCTTCCTCTTTATTCTGGTTCACCATGAACATTTTAATCAGCAGGAAGAAAAAATCCCAATAAAAACCTAAATAGCTGTTGAATGAAACGTGTTGTAAAACCAACATACCTTTTGCTCAGCACAAAGCCAGAGAGGTGGAATTGAAAGGAAGCAAAACCAGACAGGAGAAATTTACTCCTGCATCTTTTGCTTAAGAGCTACAGCTGTAAACACTTTTTTGATGGTGTAAAGTTGGTATTTGAATGTTCTCTTCCAGTGGCCTTCCTTGATTTGGCTTCCTAAGCACCAGAAATTCTTTCTTCTCATGAACCACAGAGCACGTATTTCATTCTTGCTGTTAGAAATGTGCAACCCTATCTTACTCACGGGTTAATCATCCCTTGCTGCTTTCTTATATAAAATCATAGAATTGTTTAGGTTAGAAGGGGCCTTAAAGAACATCTTGTTCCAATGCTGTAACCCTGTCATAGAAGGCCACCAAATTTGTCAGACATGATGCAAATCGCCTCCTTATTTTTCATATGCCTTAGCATACTTTCGAGGAGGATCTGCTCCACGATCTTTCTGGACACTGAGGTGAGACTGATTGATCTGTAATTCACCAGGTCTTCCTTATTTCCCTTTTAAAAAATAGGAGTTATGCTTCCCTTTTTCCAGATACTGGGGACCGAATTGCCACAACTTCTCAAATATGATGGATAGTGACTTAGAGGCTTCCTCTGCCAGTTCCTTCAGAACCCACAAGATACATCGCAACAGGTTCCATGAACTTGTGCACCTTCACGTTCCTTAGATGGTCACAAACCCGAACCTCTTGTAACAACAGTGCTCAAATTTTTTTTACTAATTTAAATACCTAAGTTTTTTCCCTTGATACTGATGCCTAAAAAAAAACTCAGGGAGAAAAAAATCTCCGAGGCAACTTAATTTTGGAGCTAAGGTGAGGGAAGGTTTAATGATGCCTCTAAGGCAATGGGGTTACAAGACGTGGGCAGCTCCCTGATCCAGTGTTACAATTTTATAATACTGTCTGTCCAATCCCTGATTTTATCCACCCGTCAGCCTTTACCCCAGTCCACCCCCGACCTGCCCCTTGGGAATTGGGTCTGGGGTCGTCCTGGGACCCTTTTCTTCATCATCTTGGTCTTCTTTGGAGTACAGAGTACATACAGTCACCCAGTTCTTGGTCGTATCTTGCAGTTCACGCTAGGGAGCAGATGTCCTTAAACAGAAGAAAGCCTACCTTGAAAGAAGACTAAATACGCCAAATGGAATTTAAGGGGGAATTGATATGGGGAACATGGAATGGGGTAAGAGGGTTGGGTATCTGTGTTGCTACTGTGCTAAAGGGTGAGGGAATGAATGCAGCTGCTTCTAAAAATCTACATTTGCTACATTACTTCTAAAACTTATAAAAATTAGAAAAATCAAAAAATCAAAAACCTGAAGGCAACAATAGCTTCCCATAAATTCTATGTATTTCTAAATCATGGTTTTGTTCTACTCATATTACTACTTTGCTGTGGCCAAATAAATAAATAAACACATAAATTAAAGTGGTAGTGAGGTAGGCGTGGTGGTGATAATACTATGCAAGTTTTCCCTTTGCCCATTCCTGCAAAGCAGTTTATTGCCATATTTGTAATTCCAGGAGAGACCAGAGGAGGTTCTCATCACTCTCTACAACTACATGAAAGGAGGTTGTAGCCAGGTGGGGGTTGGTCTCTTTTCCCAGGCAACTATCGGCAAGACAAGAGGGCATGGTCTCAAGTTGTGCCAGGGGAAGTTTAGGTTAGATATTAGAAAGAATTTCTTTACCGAGAGGGTGGTCAGACATTGGAATGGGCTGCCCAGGGAAGTAGTGGATTCTCCATCCCTGGAGATTTTTAAAAAGAGACTGGATGTGGCACTTAGTGCCATGGTCTAGTAACCGCAGTGGTAGTGGATCAAGGGTTGGACTTGATCTCTGAGGTCCCTTCCGACCCAGCTGATTCTATGATTCAAATAGAAGAGAACAAAGAGTACAAGTCAGTGCATTTAGCAGTTAGTGTTTGCATGTAAGTGGTGACTCAAGAAGTTTGGCAACAAGAATCAGACAGGCAGGATATTTATTAAGAGAAGTAATCACAAAAAAATCCATGATTTCTTAATCACTCAGTTTAAATTTCTGTTCTGAATCTACCCTTGGTCTTTCCCCCACATTAGTCCTGAAACTGCTTTATTTGCCTCAAGATTTAAGTTGTGGGCTGCTGCTTAAGTCATTTAAGCTGACTTAACTTTCAATTTTGTAGTAGCTAATGCCGCATGTGTGTTTTTGTTTTAATTCACACTGCCGTTTTCTTGCCAAGTGGTTATTAGGAAATAAATCTTGGCTTTCAACTGTTCCTAAATTTCCAAAGAAAACCAAAACCACTGTTCTTCAGTCTCAGAGACCACTTGAATCCTCAGTCTCCTGGGTTGTCTTTCTGTCCCTTTAGAGGAAGGGATTTCCAGAGAAGTCCTTGCAATAGGGGTTACATTCATTTATCTGCAGTATGATAGTCAGAAATGTTTCCCTTCCCCATTACATAAAAGATTTATGGGTTGGCTTTGGATTTTTTAAGTGTTTGGAGTTAAAGTTGCAATCTCTTACATGAAGAGCTAAAGAGAATATGTGAAAGTCTCAATCACAGTTTTACAAAGTTATCACTCCTACCTCATTGTCACCATAAATAGATGGGGGCCGGAGGGGGTTGTGATGAGCTGACCTTGGCTGGATGCCACGTGCCCACCAAGTCACTCTATCACTCCCCTTCCTGGCTAGACAAGGGAGAGAAAATAAGATGAAAAATGACTGGTGGATTGAGATAAAGCAGTTTACTAAAACAGAAGCGAAAGTTTCCATGTGTACAAGCAAAGAAAGAAAAAAGATTTATTCAGCAAGTGATGTTCAGCCACTTCCCGGGAAGCAGGGCTTCAGCACCTGTAGTGGTGCTCCAGAAGGCAAACCTCATAAATAACAAATGTCCCCCACCCTCCTCCTTCCCTTGGCTTTTATACCTGAGCTGATGCCATATGGTATGGAATATCACTTTGGCTAATTTGGGCCAGCTGGCCTGGTTGTGTCCCCTCCCAGGATCTTGCCCACCTCCACACCCTTCATGGGTAGTGGAAATGTCAAAAGACAGCGCTGATGCTGTGCCAGCTCTGCTCAGCAGTAGCCAAAACAATGGTGTGCTATCAGCATCTTTCTAGCTACCAATGCAGAGCACAGCACTGTGAGGGCTGCAATGGGAAAATGAACTCCATCTCAGCCAGACCCAATAGAGGGGTGTGTTGCAGGGAAGCATGACATGTTTGCTTTGCTCTTAACCTCTTCCCTCACGGATTCAGTACAGCAGTCTTATTCCAGTCAAATACATAAGGCTAAGTGCTGTTTCCAGTCAGCTGAACAGTTTGAAGTATATCCCACCATTTTTTCAGGTGTTTGTTCTGAATACCAAAATTTTCTCAGAGTAGTTCTGCAGAAAGATGCTTTTAGCACACATAAAACTGTTATATATTGCTTTACTGTGAAACAGGAAACAACAGGCTGGCTTAGCTAAAGCTTTCCCAAAGTATTTAGTCCAGGGCAGGTGGCTGGTATGGAAATGTTTGCCTAAACTGGCCAGGTTACAAGCAGCTAAGAAACAGGTATTTTAAGAGGGGAAGTACCCAACAGCTGGAAGTTACATTACCAACTGTGCTTTTAATGACTGGCTGTGAAAAAAAGCTAAAAATGGAGTAGTGACAGTCAAAAACTGAACAGCCCAATTCCATATAAGACAAATATTTTATTACCAAAGGAGTTATAATATCAAAGTAAGAAACTGCAAAAGAGTTATAAACAACTATAAAAATACTTATATTTATCCAAAAATTAAATATGAACACTTTATTAGTTAAATGCCAATATATTATTCTCTGACAATATTCACACATTTTAATTCATGGTTGTCTAACATCTTAAAACACGTTATATAAAATAATTGCATATAACAAATCACAATCCGAAGCTAAGAAATTCTAGCTCCTCCTGCAGCTAACTATGGGTTAACCAAATTCACAGGACTAGTGCTGCTAGTCAGCTGAACAAACTTACATTCAAGCCTCTCCTTTTTTGCCTTCCATAGGACTTGCTGTCTTGCCTCTACTTCAGAGAGCAGAAGCATGCTACATCTCTCAGAAATCAGTACCCTTTCTAAGTTTTTCAAAAAGTTGACTTCTTCCCTGCTCTTTCCAAACCCAAATCAGTTAGCAGACCATTTGACCTACACTGAAAACACTTCTATGTCAGCAGAACATACACAAGATTAGCTGCTGCTTTGATAGATTGTTACTTTTGGATCTTGATGAGTTTTACATAGGTATAAGGAAACCAGCTACTTTTCCATACTGTTTTCTTCACCTGCAGCTTCTAAGATGATTTTATAAATTGCAGTAGACATGTAAATAGATTGCTTTCATGTGATGGTATTATAAAGTTACTTGAAAAATCAGAATATTCAAAGTAGTTTCCAGAGCACAAAGGTGGGACACAGCCTTCTGTAGAGTTCTTTGTTTCACATGCTGGTCTTTTATTTCCACTTCTTGGACTTCAGCAGCTTGTTCAGTCATTTCTGCTTATTCCATCTCCAGGAACAAGGTACAGTAGCTTTCCATCAGAATTCTGGCATAAAGTGTTTATATAAGCGAGCAAGGTTACTTGAAGAATGCATATAAAATGCAAAGGTACCAAGTAATGCCACTTCAAAAGAAAAGAACAGGATTCACCTGGAATCACCTGGAAATTATTTTTTCAAATTTATTCCAGCAGGATCTAAGGCTAGATATATTTTCTTTCAGTTCACAAACTTCTTGGTTACATTTCTTTCTGGACTGTTCACCTGTCTCTGTATCTTCTTTACCAAATACATTTACATGTGGACAAACCTGAAAAAGAACAGATTGTATTGTTAATTGAGGACTGCTTATTCTATTCCTACAGGCATCTTTTAAAACAAATCCATTCCATTCCATTTCAATAAATCATGCCGGTACCATGCACGGTAAGCCAGAAAGCTGGGCTGCTCACAAAGCAAGCCATGGCAGTACAGCCTGCATCACCCTGATGTTCTCACTCTGAACAGAGCCCTGCTGCCACCCCTGCCCATGGGACTGGGAGAACATGGCTTTGACACACAGCAAACTAGGACAGCTGAAACCAGTGTGTCCAACTGAGATCATGTATGTCCTCTATCAGTGGTTTAAAATTTATCCTCCATTATCTGAAGGACTGGGAAAATAAAGCCAATTAAATTGTGAGCCAAACTTCGACTGCATGTGTTGAGACCGGTGTAACAAGACAGACTTGTTCTAGGGGCTGGTGCTGTGGCCTAGTATTCAGGATCTTAACCAGAAAAAACTACTGTGGTTCCTTTTTCATATTTAATGGCTACTCTTAATTTTTTACTAAATTATTTTAATTGGTCTTCAAAATAAAAACAGGTATCCATGAGGTTAGGTAGGAGTTGCAAGGGTGACACTGACTTTATGACTTTGACTGGGATACCTTTTAAAGGCAAACAGTGGATTCAGCACAGGTGACTAAGCAGATCATCCAACATTACTTTGAAGATCTGGTCCCAGATTATAAGGGTCTCTCCATTTCAGTGAGTAAAAGAATGAGTTAAATGCAGCCTTCAATCCAACTATTTAAGCATTATATCCTATGGTGCCTATGTGGAAACTTTTTGATGTTGGTTAATATTTTTGTGTTCAATAGGTAACACTGAGCCACACTTAAAAGAACACTCTTCCTTTGCTAAGGTAGCCTGTAGATAATTGTGCTACGTTTGAGTGACACATTAAAAAGAAGATTCTGCCAATGGCTAAAAATCCAATTATTATCATGCCTAACTGTTCTTATTGAATTTGAGATACTGTAGTTAAAATAAAGACCAAAGAGATTATGGAAAAGAGACAAACTCCCCCCTAACTGTTAAAACAAACCAGATTAAACATTACTCTTAGGGTAGAACCCCAATGAGAAGTAACAACTATGATTTTATACACTGGAGAAGCTAAACACCTTCTTTGCACGAGTCTGGCCTTTGTCTTTTACTGGAGAATTAACTCAGGTATTTCAGTACTGAACCACATTAGATATCTTCACCATAGGATTCCAGAGGATTGTTTTACTTAGTCTTTGCTTAATGTCTATGATAAGACGTGCTATACAGAGCAAAATTCCTCTTGCATATAACGTGTATGATAGTTGTACCTTTGAGAGGCAGATGTGAGAGTCTGTGTTGAATAGCTCTAAGCAATAAGTCAAATAGGTAAAATAAACTGTAGAACATCATTACCACTTACTTTTTCTTTTCTGTGTCCTTCACATTTGCACTTCAGAACCTGTAATGTCCCACATGAGACGAATGCTGCTTTCCATCTAAAGGCTTTGCTGATTCTTTGCTTATGAAAGAATCTGAGCATGTTGCATGCCATGCTCTGTAGTGATTCTATTTCCTGTAAAGGGAGAAAGAAAAATATGTCCTGAAAGGTCTGCACCATTGATTCTTTGCAATGTTGGTTTGTCTTTAAAAAAAAAAAAACCCTCCATCAATTACCATTAGTTTCTTTTGCTTTCATAGTGCTAATCTTTTCCAATAAAACGCATAAGTACTCTAACGTACCTGCCATGTCTTCAAAATATTTAAAGAAGCAATTTGTAGTAGTAATAATAATAGCATAAGGATGTTAGGGAGAAATCACAGCCATAATGTAATCAATTGATGCTGTTAGGAAAACATGAAGTGATTTTTGGAGTCAGTCCTTCTATCAAGTCATGATAAAATCTGCAGCAACAGCTGACAATTGTGCTTTCTGCCATTTGAGATGTGCCCAAACTATTATTTAAAGCTTTCAGATCTGAAGTGGAAAGCTTAGCTAATAAAAGTTTCTGTAGAAAAATAAAAACAGAGGTTGGGAAATTTTAATGTTTAATTCCATTTCCATTGTACTATTTGTACAGAAAAATCTTTATAGTAGAAAAAAAAAATCCACATTTCTTGGATATGGAATTGCTTAATATTTTAATTTTAAAAATATCAGTCTTCTTGACAAATTCTGTGATTCCAGAGTCATAAAAAAGAACAACCCGAAATATTATGATTTGACTATTAAAAGGTTATATTACTCTCTATCACAATATTTTTTTCAGGGACTGGAGTGTACAGAGAACTCATTTGATGTTATACTCTCTAAATTCTGAGAAGTTAAATCTTACCTGAGTATCATTGCAGAAAAACACTTTGATATTTTTGTGGTTTTTGTTCCTGCAGCACCTGTCACGATTCTGAGCAGATATATTTACCTGTAAAATATCATATATGTTTAGACATGGAAGTACTTTTAATCAAGTGAGGAAGATTTCTGCCTAACAACCAGTGATGTCAACAGTAAATTGTTCTGTAGCATCTCCTCGGTCGGGGTAGCAGTGTTAGTGTACAATTTTGAGCTCTTCCTCAGCAAGCAGGAAAATAAAACCCCAATCCAGCTACACTATCTAAAGGTATTCACAGAATCACACAGAATCACAAAATGGCCAAGGCTGGAAGGAGCCCATCTGGTCCCATGCCCCTGCTGAGACAGGGCCCCTAGAGCCGGTTGCCTAGGACCACGTCCAGATGGGGTTTGAATATCTCCAAGGATGTAGACTCCCTTGGGAACTTGTGCCAGTGCTCAGTCACCCTCATAATGAAAATATTTCTGATGTTCAGAGGGAACCACTTGTGTTTCTGTTTTTGCCCACTGCCCCTTGTCCTATTCCTGGGCACCACTGAGAAGAACCTGTCTCTGTACCCTTTGCCTCCTCTCTTCAGGTATTTATACACATTAATGAGATCGCCCTAAGCCTTCTCTTCTCCAGGCTGAACAGTCCCAGCTCTCAGCCTTTCTTTATTAGACAGATGCTCCAGTCTGTTCATTGTCTTCACGGCTTTTTGCTGGACTTTCTCCAGTAGCTCATTATTTCTCTTGTATGGGGAAGCCCAGAACTGGACATAAATCTGTTAAATTTAAATCTTCATATTCTATCTAATTACTTTGTTCTTTGTCAATTTTGAAACATACAGCAATGTTTAAATCTTAAATCTCTTGAATTCTAACATTGAATACATTAAATACAATGTTTGTCAATGTTCATCTCCATAATACATGACCCAGGCTCTAAACAGCTACAGCACTCACTTTGCTATGTACTAACAGAATATGGCTTAAGCAATATCACTTGTTCCTTTTTGTGACTATAATCTTTATCAATGGTTTAATCTCTGTTATTTTTTTCTTTTACTTTCACACTTGTCATCAAGATGTCAATGGAACCCAACTCAACAAAAGCTTCGTTTTCTTCTTCAGCCTGTATCCATATAACCCAATGCAACCAGAAAGGCTTTGAAAAAGGCAGCTCATGACTATATTGTGTTAGATCTCCTCACTTAGGCGTCTATATGAACACATTAGACAACTTAATTCCTAAAGTTTTTATATATATTTTCATGTAACAGTGTCTATATTTTAGAAGGTCACCCAAGATAAATAGAATTTCATCCAGGAAGTGTTTTCAAAACCAAGACTTTAGGGAGTCAAATATTGATTGGAAAACCAAAAAAACCCCAATAAAACCAAACAAAAAAAGTCAAACCAACAACATTTGGAAGCTAATCTAATTTGGAAGCATGTCTTTGCTTGCACCACAACAGAGTGAAGTTTTGCTGCAGTCACACAGCACCAAAAGTTATAAATAAATAATTAATTGCACAAATAAATAAATAACCAAATAAGTAATCACCCTGAAACCTATATATCTACAACTTCAGTTGCTAACTGCTACGGGATTTACCCATTCCCACTGGCTTCCTCAGATCACCTTTAGTATAACACACAGTAACCACTTATGAAGACAGTTTATTGGCTGTGACTAAACCAACCTAAGGGAAATCTGGACCTCAGAAAAGCCATTAGTGAAAATTAAATTACCTTACAGAGATCTACTATGTAACCCACTAGTAATCTCCATAACTGCTTCAAACATCAGGATGAGGGACTGAAAGCTATTGACTTTGGCTCTGCAATTGTAAGGAAGTGCCTAGTGGGCAGTTGCTATCACCCACACAGCACTGATTTTACATATAAGACAAACGAATCTCTCTTAAACTGGGAAAAATAAAAATAGAAAAATGAAGAAACTTGCGCAGTAGTTACTGGTACATGCCTGTTCTAGGAAGTAAAAGCTTCAGAATTCAGTACATTCCCATTAGTTTCACAAACATTAATTCATTATTTATTTATTTATTTTCATAACTTTTCATTTTCATACAGTCTCCTAAAACACTCCATGTCTTAAAAAAAAGCCTCCATAATATTTATTAAAAATTTGCAATTAAAAAAAAAAAAAAGAAGAGAAAAGATAAGTACTTTCAAAATGTACCTGGAAGAATGGAATTGTTCCATTCAAATCCTTGATGACATCATAAGGCACCAACTGCATCAAACTCTATCCTACAACTGGGCAGTGGCAAACCATTGCCACCTCCAGCCCAGGAAATTCCTCCAGCCTCCCTGACCCTGGAGTTTGAGTGGAGCTGGGATGCACCTCATGCCTCTCCACCACAGGAAGACAGCAAGATCTGCTTCCCAAAGGCTCTTATTTCTGTCATATTATTTTCTCTGATAGGTCAGCTATCCTGTAACCTCTCACCAAGAGAGTTTATTTTTGTTCTGTTGTATTGTTGTCTTATTCAGCAATAAGACAACAAACTGAAGGGAAGAGTTGTCTATTCTAATATGACCATGAATATTTTCTCCAACTATGGTGCCTTGTTCAGGGTAAGGTCACTTATCTACAGAGAAGTACCTTTCTCTCTTCATAATCTCAACAAACACAACATGATCAGAATGTTAAATGATCATTCTCTGACGCTAGAAGTATTTTGTTTCCAGATGAGGGCTGATGTGTCTTGGTAGAGGAAGGTTGGAAACCACTGGCATAGTGCTCTGAAGAATAGTGGTGGACTGTAAGGGTGAAGAAATACAGTGGCTTCTGATTTCACCTTTGGAAAAGCACTGTATACAATTTTGGATTTCGTGCAAACACATCTTGGTTTAAGACTGCAACAGAATTCTCATTGAGTGACAACCTGTCAGAAAAAAAACCATTTTCATGGAAATGCCTCTGCTAATCCAATTATGGTGTTTTCTCCCATGAAAATCTTGACAGATGAATGTAATTGTTAATAAATAATTCATGAAGAACAGTTGGAAGGTAGGTTTTGGGCACAGATTGGTAAACTGTTATGATACTGTTTTGCCAATTTAGAAAAGTTCATTCTTTGTTGGCTAAATAAGATTATCAATAGGTAAAATAAAAAGGAACTTTTATTTTCATATGAATTTTGTGCCTCTATGCATTTGTTTTCAATGGACAACATAAAACTTCAGTCAAGAAGTCTACAATTAGTAGAACAAATTACAAGTTGTGTAAAGTTTTCTTCTTTTGATAAAAACATACAAACAGAAGTAGTCATGAAATTACTTTAGAAAAGAGTACCTTTTAATTCAATATATCATCCTATTTATGGCCAAATGGTACATGTGTCTCACTACATGATGCACAGGCACAAATACCTCTATCACAGTATTCGTACAAGCAAATAGGCAGCATCCACAGATTTCAGAGATTTTAGAGAGACTAAATTGTCACACCCCCTCAAATAAAGCCACTATTCCAGGATAACATGTGGTTTTAAATTGGTCTTTTCTTGTGTTTTAATGTTAGAGCTTTTATTAATATTTTCTATCATCTAAAAATAATCAACATTTTTTTTGAAAGCCCAAGAGCTATTACCTACCAGCTCATTGATGTCGTGAATTAGTATGTTCTCATACTTCACATGGATTTCAGTTGTTTTATTTTCCATTGCGCAACTAGATGAATTCACTGGAGACAGAACAAGGAGCAGTGGCAGAACTGGAAGAGTAGATCTAAAAAAGGCTGGATTACAGGAAGAACAGTTAAATATACATTAAATGCCCCAGAGTGTATGTTTTATTTACAAATACATTCTGTAATCTGTTGAAATAGTTTAAAAGGGATATTCATACCAACAAATGACTAATCCTTCCTTGAGAGAAGGATTCTGCTCCAGATTAAGACACTGTTTGGGTGTCCAAACTCCCTCATACTCTAAGATGATTCAGCCAGCATTAGTAAGAGGATAAAACTACTGAGCTGACCAGCAACTTGGTGACTGCTTGGGCTGAATTCATCTCCAGGCTTCACTGCAAGCATTGGCAAGGTCTCTCCACTGACCATAACCGGCCCATAACCAACCCATAACCACCTCAGGCATATGTAGATAAGTAAGTGTCTTAGTCGAATAAGTTTAGACGTCCAAGTGTCTTAACCTGCAGCTGAATCTCATCCTGACTGTCCATTTTTCATTTGATAAATTCTACAAATCCCCATGAACACATCTTTACATCAAAGGCGTGTTTAAAAACATTTTCAGGCTGACCAAATGTACGAAGCCATACTAATGGTGATAACATGAGAGCGCAACCTTCTCTTCAAGATTTTTGCAATGTTTTGGAACAAATCTCACTGCCCCCCTCTTTGTTTCTCCCTTCAGTGTATTGTCTGGCTTTGCTCAGACCCTGGTCTTCTGTCTTTGGATGACATCCAGGAAAACATGAGTTCTGTGACGACAGGCTGAGAGAAAAGACCAAAATATCAAAAGACCCCAAAGTGACTGACAGGGTAACAGAAGGCTGCAGGTGACTGACCTGGTACTTGGAATGAAGGACTAGGTACATTAGGAAGCCCATAACTGGACTCTGGTCTACAGCTCAACTAGCTAGGATAATGCTTAAATGGAAGGTTTTGAAAAAAAAGCAAAGCTAGAAATTTCTGATGGGGGACTAGTGAAGATCACAGCAGATTGCTGGACTAGTACGAGCTGTTTCTGCCCATCTCTGCTACTGAGTAAGAAGAACAACTGCATAAGGAGTAACTATGGGGTAGAAGCCAGGAAAGGAAGAAGGGATGCCCTGACCCTAGCTGCTACTTTTCTTCCTCTATGGCGAGGATGGGCTGTTGGGTACAGCCAGCCCTGCACTCAAGAGATGGAAACCTCTGGATCTGGGCGTCACTAGCAATCACAGCCTCAGAGAGAAATCTTCAACAACTAAGAAGAAAGCAATGAAACTTGAGCATAATTTTTGCTGACCTACCTAACTTCTGTGACGCAAGAACCCCAAGACACACCACATGCTCCCAGCCATTAAAACAAACAGTCTGTTACAGCCCATCCCAGCCAACTCCAAACACAGAGTATACGCTTCAAAGAAGAAAGCATACCACTTTTCCTGACTACGAAAACCTTGTTTTTCTGATAGATTGCTTGTGAACACGCTGTAATGTACACCTCTGTCCTAGAAAAAGGACTGGAAAAGTTTTACACGTACAAGCTAAATCACAGAAGTCTTCTTGTGGCAGGCTGCCAAATTTTAATGGGAAATTTGATGGATTGAAAACCAAATTTTCTAACCTTTTCAATATACTGATCAATGGAGGTCTATTAGTTTCTCAAAAAAAAAAATCTAGCCTGAAAAGCTAAGTGGATCTTAAATGGATCCTACATGTATAAATATAAAAACCATGTAAGGTGACTCTATTATGATCTTCAAGATCCAAGTGGACACACCTGACTTCCACTTTGTAAATCTCTATGCTAACTATAACTGTGTTGAGCAAATTATCAGTTTGAAGGACTAAGACTTAACATTTTAAGAGATGTTTAAAAACATGCAAGAACTCAATTACAGGACATTTTTCCAATCTCCATTGCACCTCTTGATTCCAGTGCAAAAAAAAAAGAACTGCAATGCTAGTTTGCATTGTAGCAGTAATACAAGCAACTTGGATATGCTGCTTCACAAACATGCTTCAAGAGACAAAAATAACAATCTTCTAATTTAAAACTAATCTAACTGACTCCATCACTTAAAATTTGGTTTGTTCAGCAACAAGTGGAGACAACAGGTGAAAACCGCAAGGTCACTTTTATTTCTTTATTTTTACTTTCTCTGTATTGTACAGATTGTGGGCCTTTTTTAAAATGAGGAAATTACAGAATCAAGGCAGATAGTGAGCTGCACACTTGTGAAGTCCCTTAAGCCTTTGCAGAACCAGGATCGAATCTGTTCAGACATTTCTGAATGAGTCCTCTGGAAGAACCATTAGACGAGTGTCATAAAAAGTTCTGGGAGCTTTACACTGAAAATCGAAAGGGATTTTCTTAAAGTTAGGTAACTTCAAAAGAAGAAGAATTTATAGCACTCCATATGACCAGCACTTCAAAAGAAAGAGAATCTGTATTACTGGTAATACCCCATCTTTTCAGTAAACTCCCAGAAACTCCTAAGTCTTATCTGGAAAGCCCCAAAAATTCTCCCAGAAAAGACAGGAAGACTTAGTATTCCAGTATTTCCAAATAATTGGAAAAACCCTCTTGGATTTTTAATTTTAAAAAATCCTCCTGTGCATGCAGCCCGAGGCGCGCCCCCGGCCACACGCAGCGGAATCCCCGCAGCAGCCCCGGTCCGCCACAACCCACCCTCGCCTCGACGGGCGGCACCCTCTGCCCCTGGACCCGCTCCGCAGCCCGCAGTCCCCGGGCAGCGGGTCGCTGCCAGCTGTTCTCCCTCTGCCCCCCTGAACCCGTGCTCAGGGGCGGGCGGGCGCTCCGCGAGTGAGACCCGAGGGCAAAGCACGGCCGGCGCTGCGCGGCACCTGCTTCGGGCGCGCCCACGGGGCGGCAGGTGCCCACAGCGAGGCAGATGACCACAGGGAAGCTGGTGCCTCCAGCGAAGCTGGTGCCCACAGGGTGGCAGATGCCCACAGCGAGGCAGGTGGCCACAGGGAAGCTGGTGCCCGCGGTGGGTGCAGCGAGGACCGGCGCGGGGTAATGCTTCCCGCAGCTCCCCCGCCCCGCGCCGTCCCGCTGCCTCTGCCACTCCCGAGCTCCGCTTCCCGGCAGCAGGCGGGATGGGAACCGGACGCTTTTACTTTCATTCTACGGGGAAAACTGAAAAAAAAAGCAAAACTGGGAATTTCCCTGACCGTCACCATGAGTTTAAAAGGCACCGGGCGGCACTGCACCAGCAGAGCAGGCGAGACGGCGCGGAGACAGCGGAGCCGGTGAGGAGCCAGCGCGGCCGGGGGTGCGGAGCGGCGCGGAGCAGCGCGGCGGAGCCCAGCCCATCCCAGCCCAGCGCGGGAGGCAGGTGGAGCGGGGCTCCCGTGGAGCGGGCTCTTCCCGCCGCCGCCTTCGGAGCGGAGCGGTGCGGTGCGGGGCTCGCTCCTTACCATGGAACATGGTCCGCGGGGAGGATGTCAGGGAGCTGCGCCGACGGCTCCGCGGTCATGGTGGCGGCACCGTGTCGCCCATGACGCCCGCAGCCCGCGGAGCGCCGCGCAGGGGCCGAGAGGGGCCGCGGCGGCCGGGCGGGGCTCAGCAGCCCCCGGCCGCCCGCCCGCCGAGCGGGGTCGCGGCGCTGTCAGAGGCGGCGGCGGGACGGCCGGGCTTTGCCTTTCCCATGGGGCTCCGCCGGCCGCAGGTACTTTCACTTTCTGCTCCGCCGCGGCGGAGCTGCCCGCGGCTCGGCGGGCGGCGGTCCGGCCGCCGGGGCTGGAGGCATCCCCGCTCCGCTGCCGCAGGGGCGGGAGCGCCCGGGACGGACGTCGCGGAGCGGCTATGGCGGGGCCGAGCCGTGCCGGCGGGGTTACATAGAGCCCCGGCTACACGCCCAGTGCCGTGTGTGCGGCCAGGGAGGGAAGGATGGACCTTGGCAGTGCGCGTGGAAAGATCCGCTCATACGCGGGGAGGATATCCTAAAAAAAAAAAAAAAAAACCCCACACAACACCACTCCGTGTTGTGGAGTCGCTCTTTTGGAGGAGAGGCTTGGTCTGAGAGGTGCTGCGCTGCCCCGTCGCTCCCTCAGCTGCCCTTGGGTGGGTTGTGGGAGGCGCGACTGCCAAGAGGGCTCCGTGTCAGTTCAAGGGTTACTCCAGGCTTTTGGCACGGGGTCAGAAGCGGAAGGTGGATGGTTTTTTTCGGAGTTCTTCGTGTTGTCCCTCCCCCCCCACCCTCCCGGCGGCAAAGTTTATCCTGAGAAATATGAAAGGATTAAGGAAGGGTGGTGAATGGCTCAGGAAGGTGTTTTTCTTTTCCTGCTCTGCGTGAGCACAGAGAGCTAATTCCATAATCCTGCTCCCTTCTCATTAGAGTGCTTTTCTAAGGGGGGGAATAGATACTGGAGTGTGAATATCAAGGAGTAAATATATGGACTGCTCAGGATAGTTTCCTCCCATTCTCTCTCATTGAAGTTGTACCACTTCATTCTTTTGTGAGGAGATTCTTAGTCCTCTTTATTGACTATGAATTATACTCTGCTTTGGATTGGCTATACAGTTCTCATGAGTTTTTCTTTGGCAAAATTAATGAATCCTTCTGTCAAGATTCAAGAAGGAGATGGTTTTTCCACCCCTTCAGCTTTGAGCTGGTTGACTTTACTAATAATTGCACATCACTACCATAATACTCAGGCAAAGAATAATGATTGATGTCAACACAGCTCCATACAAGGAGCAAGCACATGTCATTGCTTGTTCCCTTAATGAGTGTGAGGTTGGATGTGATGGATTGTTCAGATCTTGAATTTGGACAAGGATTTCGACTCACTAATAGGAAAATGATCTAGTTCTTACTGTATTTTAAGTTGTCACTTTTTTTTTTCATTGATTGTTTTCTTTTTTGTCTTCTGTCAAATATTGTCTGAAAACATCCCTCTGTATATTTGAATTTGCTGCCATGTGCAGGTCAGAAAATGCCACAGGACTCTTGGAGGGGATTTGTACCCAGTGTAATTCAAGCAAATTTATCTGTTTCTAGGGTCCAGCACTTAGAGACTTGCACTTTCAATTTTTCAAATGTTTTGAAAAAGCTGCACTATAAAGCTCCAGTCATGCAAAACCCCCCAAAATCAGCTTTCCTTCTGGCAAGTAGTTCTTCCAATTTTTTATGACAGTACATGTGTGCTCACACAATGAGGTAGTTTATGCAGATGTTAGTAAATTGTCAAGGTGTAAAATATAAAGGAAGACTTCTTTAGCTGCTTTGCTTATGTTACTTTCCTGACTGAAACATCAGGAAGACTGATATTTGCTTCAATTTTTTTTTTAAATAATGTGATTGATGCAAGAAGTCAGCGTAGCAGCTTTACACATTAATGGAAACATGACTCCGAAAGGTGCTGGAGTCTTAAAAGGAATTTTACTCTCTTCTTCAGTAGTGGCAGAGTCTTTTTTTTTTTCTTTTTTAGGATGAAAAGTCTGTTAAATGTATAGGAAACTTTTTCTTCAGTCAAAGTGACAGATAGTTGGTGTGATCTTTACTTTGCCCATATCGTGTATTTGGATCCCAATCAATCCCTCTTACATGACCTAACCCTGGACTGTGGCATAAACTTGTGATATAGACATTATTTGATATATTTGTATGTAGAGGGTGATAAAATATTCAAGCTTTTTTTGTGACTTTTATGTGCTTTAAAAAATATTTTGAATCACTATATGCACTTTGTTTTCAAAGTGCTTCTTTTAGTGATTTAACAATGTTTTTTTTCCTGAAAAGGTTACCTGCAGAGCAATAAAATTCAAGTGTTTAGGAGAATATGTTACGCAGATGTAATTGCATATTTTTTAAAGGAAAAATAGATGTAATATTAGAAGAATTAATATAAAACCAATTATGTGAATATCATCTTAACAATACGTTTTTATCAAGAAATCATGAAAGGACTCCTGAAGATATAGAAGTTTATCCCATCTGAGACTCACCTTGTTTAAATGACTGGTATCAATTTGCCCATTTTGGAAAACACAGTTGGTGCTGAGCTGTAAATAGAGACCTCTCCCTCTGGAGTTGAATTAAGCTGTGACTTGACTGTGGCTGGGGGTGAAACCTTTGGGGAGAGAATAAAACTGAAATATTTCTGTAGAATTTCTAAAATGTTAGGTCTCCCACTTCTCTATAATACCTTGACAATTTTTGGACCTGACTGTTTTAATAAGAGATATATTGGCTTTACTATGTAAATAGTTTGACTAAGACTACAAATAAGCGATCTCTGGAAAGAGTGCAGGGCACTGCTGTAAATGTGTGCAGTTTTTTCTTTCACACTGTATTAAAAAAAAACTTTTTAGACAATAAAAGAAGGTACTGCATAGCTAACAACTGAAAGGCACCAGTAATTTTATCTGTTCATGTGTGAACATATTCCATGATTCTGTTCAGTACACTTCCTGAGGATAGTTTCTTTAAAGAAGTTTAAATTCAGATATCCAGTTGTCTGCTGACCTGGTCAAATTTATTCTTAGAAAAGCAGGCATTACATATAAACCTCCAATAGAATACTAAAATTGTTGGGTAGCTACATGATTGCAAAGCACATAATTTCTTGTTAAGATTCAATTCTCTAAAGACTAAATACTTCTGAGAATGTTGCTGTCTTTCTGTAGCTGTTACTTGTCAGCTTGAAAAGGTCTTTTGATCATGACTTTAGATTTGACTTTAGGCTGCTTGGAAACTTACAGCACCATTGATTATATTAGTGTATAACATTAGTTAAAAAGTTATAAATTTTTTATTTCATTTTGGAATAAAATGTACCTGCTGCAGTTGTCACAAACTAATGGGACTCAGGAAAATGTGGCCACTGTTATTATGTTCTTATTTTTAAGAATAAATGTGTCTGACACTTAAATTATTCTCAATTAACTATGGGGGATGGGGAGAAGAAGAGACTATTCTCCCCTACTCCTACCTCTAAATAAATTAACTGGGGTTCGGAGTTACATTTATTGTGCACCCAAAACTCTGATTGATACTCGGGTCTGGGAAGTTCTGATCTTCTGTTGTATTTGGGCAAAACCAAGGGATCTAATCTTGTCATTGCACCAGAACACCCATGTTTTTGAATTACTGTTGCTACTTTTTTTTTCAGTGCTCACCTCAATGACAGGACAAATGACTTGTATACAAAAACACATGAACTGACTGATAAACTGATTATAATGCAGAATTATATCTTACATTAACTCAAATATAATATATGTGTGTGTTTTTCTTTGGTGAGAATTAAATAAAAAGAAGAAAACGGTATTTCTGGAAAATTATTTAGATAAGAGTTGTGAAAGTGTGTGAAGCTCACAGGAAATTTTTATTATCAAGCTATGGAAAAGAAGGGGTCATTACATTCTCTTCCTGTCTTGCTGTACAGGAAGATGCTAATAAAGATTTCATCAAAAGCAATATGCCAAATAAAGGTATTTTGAGAAACCGCCACCAGGAAGGGGAAGTTTCCTAAGAGCAGCACTGCCAATGTGGAGGACATGGTGTGGTGTGAGGCAGTAGTAGTGGGAATCAGGCTCCTCACTCCTGGCTGCCAGGGGCACTACCCATGTTCTCATCCCAGAGCCCGGTGCATGAATCAGGCTTTCCCCTGGCTTCCCTCAGTCACGAGAATTGTTTCTGGTCTTTGTTTGCTGGCGCCTGGGGCGTGCCTGAAACCCAGCTGGTACTGTGCCCCTGGGTCACATCTTCTGCTTGCATCAGCTCCGTGGCAGTGAGAGGCTCCAGAGGGGCGGTCCTCTCCACTGAGTGGAGGCTTTTGAGTTGGCTGTTGTCTGTTTTGGTGCCTCAGAGGAGACTGAATGTGGGAGAAATGAATATTTCAGCCGGGACAAATTATGAAAATCCTGTTCCTTCTTAGTGAGGCACAGAAGAAACAAGGACTTGGGGGTGGGTTTCTGTCAATGCATATTCTTTTGCTTTTCCTACTTTAAAAAATGCTGGTTTAGGGAGGAGGGGAGGTTTGGTAGTAGACCAACAGCGGTCCTTGCAGATATAAACCCCTATTGAAATTATGAAAATTTCATTGCATTTCAGGGCCTTGGAGTTTCCTTTGGTTTTCTTGTTGTGCTTTTAAAAGCTTCTTTTCCAAAATGATAATCAATTATATTTTATTATTTGAGTAAACCTATGTGTCTTTGAGTGGTCTCTCTTTTTTACAAAATTACATGTACGATACAAAAAAGCATTTATGGAACTTTTTAATTTTCCCCTCTCTTCTTCATTGTCCATTATTTGTCTTGAGAAAATGTGTTTAGTGAGTTGGTTTTAGGCAAACTGTTCCTGAAATATTACTCTATTTTTTCCATTTCTTCAATTTACTTTTCCTTTTTTTTTTTCTTTTTCCTTTTTGATTTTTTTTTAAGAGAACTGGAAGTCTTTCTCCTGGTTTTAAAGGCAGCCAGAGAGTCACCCTGAAAAGTTACAGCAAAGTCATTGGAGCCACTGTGCTGGGGAGTAAAATTAAATCTGCAATTTTTTAGAACCAGTGTCTACCTGAGGAATTAGTTTCAGACATTAAATCTTGGAAATATAGTACAAGGTGCTAAAGGGTTTTTTTATCTTTGGTTTGGATTAGTGAATGTGTGTGTCCTGTTACAACAATTCCATTGAAGATTTAGGTCTGTTACTAAATTAATTGAAAGACATTTTTTCTCCATCTGAAAG